AGGAGCAGCCCTCTCATTCACCCATTTCTTCACAGTCAACAAGGCACAGTCACAGGAGAGTCCCCAGGTCTGTATCCCCACCCCAGCCCACTACCTGGTTTCCAGATGGGGGCCCTGAGGCTGGGAGAGAAGGGGCTTGCTCTAGATCAAGCAGACATGCAGGTCTCCTAACTCCAAACACTCCCTGTACTGCTGAGCTTGCCTGTGCCCGCCCTGCCACTCCACCACCCCCCACCCCCAAAGGTGCCCGCCTCTCCCCTGAGGATTCCTGAGGAGGGCAGGAAGGCCCTGTCGGAGCCTGAATTTATGATTTTCTGACAACTTCCTTCCTCCTATCCCTCCCTTCCAGCCCCATCCCAGCTCCATGAGGAAGGAATGGGCTGGGTGAGAAGGGCAGCTCCATGGAGCATAAATAACTTAGCAGGGCAGCTGCAGGCTCTCTGGGTCCCCCAGCACCCCGCTCGGCCCAGCAGGGTGCCCCCTGCTCTGGGGCAGAGGGGCTGCTGGGCCAGGCCTCCAGATCAAAGGCACTGAAAGCGGGCATTGTTCCCTAACCTGGAAGCGCGGGTCGCCAGCTCTCCTCTCTGGCCCTGCCCTTTGTCTGGGCAGAGGCTTCGAAGGCCGCGGGCGCTGCCTGGGCCCCTGGGGGCTGCTGCCATGGGCTCTGGTACCCCAGCCCTCTAGGGCTGCTCCTTCACCCACGGAATGGGCACAATGAGGGTGCAGATCAGGTGGGGTGCCTGGGCTCCCACGAGCTGGTGTGTGAACAGGGCTGGTATTATGGCACCCCCAGCCGGGGGTGTGGGACACAGGGGACCGAAAGAGGCCCTTGGAACAGGCCCCTGCGGGAGTTCACCAGGAAGGGAGGCTACAACCCAGGTTTGTTTGCTATGATAATAGCATTTCCTGTTTGGACTAGGCCGGCTGGACATGTCAGTGAATCCACACCAGAACGGCTGTATTTCCCGGACCCCACGGCCTGCTTTGAGGCAGGAGGTGTATCTGTGTCTGAGTCCATGTCCCTGTGTGGCCCACACGTGTGTGTGTGTGTGCATGTGTTCTCTCTCACCTCATCAGCTCCCAGAGGGAGTCTAAATCTGAGCCAAGTTCTCCTTTTGTCCAAAGAAGCCCCCCTGCAGGGCTGGGCGAGACGGTGGCAGTGTGGCCTAATGGGGAGCGTGAGGGCCAGGACCCATCACTCACCAGCTGTGGGCCTGGGCGGGCCGCACCTGGGGATAATATGGAGCCACCCCCTGGGTCAGGGAGAAGAGGGCAGGCGACAATGCAAGCCAAATGCTTAGCACAGTGCCTGGCACACGGTCAGCACTCGGACCGGAAGTGGCTGTCCTGACTGGCAGTTGTGGTCTGGTTTTGGCAGCGGGGAAGATCGGCCCCCAGGGAGGAGGCCCCGCCCATAGGGACCTCGAGCCAGGGGGCCCCCTCTCCTCCCCATCTCTGCAAACACTGAAACCTCAAATGACCAAACCCAGGTCCCCACGGCGTTTCCTGACCTTCCTGCTCCGGGAGGAAAGAGGACCAGAAAACAGGCTGACAACCACCAGGAAAGCGTGTCCTTGAAAGGGGCCTTCATACCATGCCCCCGGACCACCACACAGAGACCCAAAGCTTCAAAACTGCCTGGGGTTTTTAGCTTGGTTGTTTTTTGTTTTGTTCTTTTAATTGAAGTATAGTTGATTTACAACATTGTGTTAGTTTCTGGTATACAGCAAACTGATTCAGTTATACATATACAGTTTCAGGTTATTTTCTATTATAGGTTATTACAAGATAGTGAATATAGTTCCCTGTGTTATATAGTAGGTCCCTATTGTTTATCTATTTTATATGAAGTAGTGTATCTGTTAATCCCAAACTCCTAATTTATCCCTCCCCACCTTCCCCTTTGGTAACCATGTTTGTTTTCTATGTCTCTGAGTCTGTTTCTGTTTTGTAAATAAGTTCATTTGTATCATTCTTTTAGATTCCACATGTAAGTGATACAATATTTGTCTTTCTCTGTCTGATTTACTTCTCTTAGTATGATAGTCTCTAGGCCAATCCATGTTGCTGCAAATGGCATTATTTCATTCTTTTTTTTGGCTGAGTAGTATCCTATAGTATATATATAACACATCTTCTTTATCCAGTCATCTGTCAATGGACACTTAGGTTGCTTCCATGTCTTAAAACTGCCTTGCTTTTTCAGGCAAGGAAATGAGACTCAGAGAGTCTCCCAGACCACACAACGCTTAGTGGTTGCCCTGGAATTGACACCTAGGCCAATGGGGCGCCGAGCCTGCGTGGTAACCCCCAGGATCCCAGCCTCAGCAAGGACAGGACCCCCTTCGACGTCAAAATGTTGATAACAGCTTTTCCTGGAACAGTCCATTGCTGGAGAAATTCCCCAGTAGCCAGAGCTCTCACATGTTTGGTGATAAAGGAAGCTGTACGCAGGTGCAGCTTGGACACGTTGCAAGCAGACCTGGCGGTGCTTCTTCGTTCTGTGACAGCTTTTGGGGATCTCAGACACCTCGACAGCCTTCCCAGGCACCCCCCCAGACAGAAGGAACTGCCTAGAACTTCCCCTTCCTAAAGAGCTGTGTGCCCTTCAAAGTGCCCTTTGGGGTGTTGGGTTTTGATCCAGGCCGCCTGACCAGGCCCCTTGAGAGTGACAAGTCATCTAGGAGAATAAGTCACTGATCTAGGTGTGTCAAGAATGAGAGCTAATCAGAGAGGCACAAAGCTGTATTTTTTTGGAGGGGTCAGACAGATGGCACATTGTAGGTGCCCAAAAATCACAATGGAAGAGAGGGAGGCAGCTCCCCAAGGGGGCAAAGTTGGCACCATGATGTTGTCATTGGAGAATGTGGGGAGCCCTTGGGGAACCACGTGAAGCAGGGGACAGTGGGTGCCAGGGTGTTGCTGTGATATCTGATTCCTGCCCACACTCTGTAATGAACGTGTAACTATCCTCCTTACAAATAGAAACTGAGGCTCAGACAGGGGCAGGCCTTGCCCAAGCTCATGCTGGCAGAGGGGGCAGAGGGAGCAGAGGCAGGGTTTGAACCCAGCTCTCACTGCCTGCCCCCTCAGGGGACAGAGGTCAGCTCTCTCCACCGGCACACCCTCCCCAATCTGACCCAGCCCAGGGCCTGGCGCTGCCCAGCCCTGGTGAATTTAGGAGAGGCAGTCCCGGGAATCAGGGGTAGGGGCCAGCTTGCCCTTCTTGCTCGAGTGTTTCTAGCAGAGGTCCTGGATCGGACAAGCCACGGCAGGATCCCATGTGACAGGCCCCCGGTGCACCACAAAACTGGTCATAGCTTCACCAGCCCAGGACCGCCTGATGCACGTCAGTCCCAGCAGAAGGTGGGTCAGAGACTCCTGGAGTTTTGGAAGGTTCTGAGTCCCTCCCCATAGGCACACACTCCTATCACAGACACATACATCACACACATGCACACACATGTATCACACACACAAACACCAGAGGGATTCACAGCCCTCTCCCCAGAAACTCATTCGTGCACCCCAGATACAGTAACTGCATCCTAAGCCAATCCTTTCCTTGTCGCAGACAGGGAACCCCAGGCCCAGACCAACTGTTGTCTGCACTCTTCCCTAATTGTGCCTAAGAGCTGACACACACTCTCCACCCCTAAAGTCAGGAGATCTGGACTCAAATCCTAGCTCTTCCACCACTGATGGAATGCTTTAGGCAGATGACAGTCCCTTTCTGCCTCAGTTTCTCTATCTGTAAAATGGTGGTAAGAGTGGACACTGACTTTATGGAGTCAGCCCAGGTCTTCTTCCAGAGGGACCCGGGCCTCAGTTTTCTTCTCTGTAAAATAAGGATGATTGCGCCCACCTCACCCGGGGTGGTTTGACGATTAACTCCAGAGAGGACGTGAAGCGGAGGTGGGGTGCCCTGCACCCAGCGGCGCTCACTGCTCAGGAAGCCTTTGTTGCACGGATGGACGAAGCCTTCGTGCCTCGGGAACAGGATCCCTCAAACATGTCTGGAGGAGATGAGGGCCCCGCATCATTAGCCCAGGATTGGCAGGTTTGGGTTCTGGCTGCATCTGAGACCATGGCCCGGCCTCCATTCCCTAGTTTGCAACACGTGGGAAGTCACCT